GGGTGTGCCTGCGTCCGCCCTAATGCAGGCCCATACTTCGCCTTGCACACCTCCAGCGAAAGCATCTCGTAGAAGATCACCTCGACCATCGTGACGACCTTGTGGTCGGTCAAGTCCAGCACCTCCCAGCCGTTGCTTTCCGGCAACACACCCAGGTGAAGCCCCCAGCGAGCCTTCGGCGCCAGCTTCCCACCGCGGTGCTGCTCGGGGATCATGGAGTGCACCTTGCAACCCCACACCCGCGCCAGCGTGAGGTCGGGCTTCTTCCCGGTCAGCAGCTGGTCCGTGTCATCCCCAGCGGCGTCGTCGACCGCTCCAAGTAGTTGTGCACCCAGACAGCTTATTGTAGAGCGAGGCGCCGCCAGTGGTGCTGCACGCCCATGTGCAGCAGCATCGTGCCATGCTGCTAGCCCTTGAGGGAGACCCCGACGCCCTTGACATACCGACTCGTCGCACGTAGCGTGACGCAGTGTTAGGGTTGTGGGTCTTTCTATGGATAGCGACACTCAGAGATGGCGTCTTGGAGATCTACAGGCACTAACGACGACGTAGTTCCCCCACCTAGGGTGAACGTAGTCGTTGGCGTGTCGATTTTCAAGGTGAAGCGGTCGCCTGGATCTCCGCCTGTCTTCAAGGCGTGCTATATGGCTAGAGGCTTCTGTCGCTAGTAAGGGGTTGACTTCTTCCAAACCTTCACCTCGACCTCGAAGATGATTATTCTTTGGGTGTTACTTTACGTTGCAGCACAGCGAGTCTACGTGCTGTACTCGTTGGACTTCTCCACCACCTTTTTCCAAGGCCGCCTGCACAAGGAGATCTAGCTGCTAGCGTTCTCCCAGCTTCAATGGCACTTTTCCGCCTGGGAACCGGTGGAGCCTGAGACGACCTGTCTACATTCTCCGCCAGGTGCCTCATGAGTGTACACCCTTTACTCCACACTTGGTTTCAGACCTTCTATTGTCGATCCGTCACTGCTCGTTCGTTCCGGGCCCATACCTTTCTTCGCCCTTGTCTACGTCGATGAATTGGTTTTCGCTACCGCAGACAGGGTTGCTCTGGCTGAGGTGAATTCCGAACTGCGGAAGAGACAACTTTGCACTGACCTTGGTGAACTGCGCCGCTACTTTGAACAGATCACGACGGACAGAGCCGCTCGCACCATCACACTCACTCATCGCACATGGTACAACATGCCCTTCAATTGGTCGGGCTTTAGTTCTCTACCACATAGCCCACTCGTCTTGCCGTTGACCTATGGCTCACCGCTCCTATTCCTGACGAGCCCTTTGATTTTAGTGGTCCCTACATAGAGCTAGTCGGTTGACTCATGTACGTGATGACCTGTACTCGTCCGGACCTCGCTTTTCCTTTTAGCATCCTGGCTCGCTCTACTGCGACTGGGAGACATCGTATTGTTCACTGGATGGCAGCTGTGAGGGTAGCAAATTACCTGACATCAGACATGGGACCTGTGCTAGGAGGGACACAGCCAGTTCTACTGACTGGTCACTTCGACTCCTACGCTGACAACGTGGAGACCCAGAGGTCTACTCAGAGGTACTGCTTTAGCTTGGGCTCTGGTGTTGTGTCGTGGAGGTCTACTCGGTCGTCGTCTGTGGCGTTGTCTAGCGCTGAGGCCGAGATCAGGGCCCAAAATTGGTTTAGGCCTACCCTTACAAATCAGGGTTCCAGCCCCTCCTTAGCCCGACCCCTAGGGTAAAAAATTTCGTACCCTGTTTGCAGCAGGGCAAATCAACCTATAGCCTGATTTGAGCAGGGTAGTTTTAGGCTAAGCCTGTTTCGGCAACTATTTTGTGAGCTAAGTTTTTTATACGGACGTAATAAAGTAGCACTCACAACAGGGTCCTCGCTATCAGACATTTTTGTCTGTTTGTCTTAGAAATCAGACGACTTTTCTCACCTAATCTGGTTTTCCTATAGGTGTTTGATTTCGATTTCATCTGATTGGCTAGGAATCATTTTTTTAGTTTCATCTGATGCATCAGAAACGTATTCTCTAATTCATATGAAACCGAATCATGTTATAGCCTACAGTTTCGAGCATTTCCTTATCTGAGATGTCAACCTGACCTGTTATGATTGGGCGAAGCATGCTCTCACAGGGCGAATCTCTTGTGTAAGGGCGAATCTGCTCTTATGTCAGGGTAATTCTGCTGTGATTGGGCAAATTTGCTGCTCTCTGACAGCGCAAAACTGTGATTTGACGAATTTTCTGTGCTCTGACAACACGAAATCACCGTGCCAGGGCGAATTTGCTGTCAGGGCTTTTTGGAAATGTCTGTTTGTGTGGGTGTGGTACAGTTTGTCACCACGCGGAGTATGGCCTGATCCGCGGTAAAGAAGTTTCGGTATCAGGGTAGTCTACACCCTATCCTGACACCGTCAGGCTAACCATAAATCCAATCAGTGTAAAAAAAAACCTGCTCTTTTTGCATAAGGGTAAGTATCGTAAATCCTGATTTTGGCAGGGTAATCCTGAAAAAGGGGCCGGCCCCCAGGGTATTCAGGGCGTTTTACCCTGATATTTTGGGCCCTGGCCGAGATCTATGCCGGTGCCATAACTTCCCAGGAGCTTCGCCGGTTGGCTTTCTTGCTCACAGACTGTTATAGTCACAGTAGGCTCCAATGTGCCTAAAACGAAAGATAGAGTGCACAGTCGGATTTCTGCACAGCGGCTTCAAACGTTCATAGCGTTCTGGTCACAGCTTCAAATGACTTGATTCAACTTGGATCTGGAGCGTCTTATTGTCCCCTACAATAGGCAATTTAGATCGCACGATTTCACCAAGTATTGACGACACAGTGTCAGTTTGAACGAACGGCACTATGGCAGCCACTATAGTCTTAGAACACAAGATAGGAAGAGTTAGGAAGAGTTACGAGTTGGGAATGACTCCCAGCTCCTACAAACCCCATGAGCCGAGGTACAGTGATGTGGAACAGTGTCACACTGTCCCCACCCACGAAGGGTCTCGAAACTACCCTTCACTAGGGCCTACACCAACTGAAATGTTACACTACACAAAGTAATGTAACTATCTTCAATCTCTTGAGGTGTACCCTTTTGGCGAGCTTCGCGATCACTTGAATGTTGACACCAGGGGCTCGGGTTCTTCATCACAAACTCATCCTTGAGTTCTTGATGGGTCTGCTGCACACACCTGCGACACGCCGAACGTTCGACAAGCGACAAAATAGAAACCGCGCACGACAAAATAGAAACCACGCGGGACACACAAAACGACCACGTTACACGCGACTAGCGATGATTCCCTATTGACTTGACACACACACTCGACATCATGACCCATCGTTCACACACTATTATAAGCATGAAATATATATATTTATTTCATGCACTCATTCCATTCCATGCACACACGCAGACACGCACACGGACAACAAGCAGAGTGCAAACCGTAGGGTTGCACCAACAAACAAGCCGAGTGCAAACCGTAGGGTTGCACCAACACAGACCTTGGTGAGCGGCCGAGCTCTGCGCTGACCTTGTTTGCTGACAACTAGGTTGTGGTGATCCTGTATCGAGAGCCTCAACCGAAGAGTAGAGTGAAGCACATCGACATTGTTACGACATGAAACTTTATGAGAAGGCATTCCTGTATGTTGCAGGAGCCGACTCTACCGGGTACGAAGTCGAGGAGTCAGAAGAGTCGAAGCGACGCTGGTAACCGTCTGACCAAGACCGATGCAGGCAGAAACATTTGAAGTGAAAAGAGCGGGATCATGTTTTGAACTTCGCTGTAATAAGGGAATGTACCCCTTAGAGTATATGGCTAGTCTATGTCGTTTCGTATTCATTTGTATTTCCTACATAATCTTGATGTATGCATGCTATTATCAATCTCCGTCATTTTACATTCACTCTGACCTGAGGTCAATACTTCCGCTACAACACTACCCTGCGATCAACCTTGAACGATCCTCCGCTAAGTCCCACTTGGGATTGTAACAAACATAAGGTACTTTCTTTTGCGTGGGTTGCAGCGACGCAGCCAAGGACATTCAGACTTTGTGGCTTGAACGGCCAATATCGCATACATCTTCACAAAGGCCCTTCCGCCTGGTGACCATCACATGTTCTGTCTGCAGCTAGGCCTTGTTGAGGTAGGCCCTCGATTGCTGTAGTCTGGCCTCTTGTTTGTTGCTCTACTTGACTTTGTGTTTGTTCCTTCTTTTGGCTGGTCTTGTGGCCATTTGTTTGCCTTGCTTGTTTTTATGCCCTTCAATTAGTTCATGGGGCGTGTCAAATGTTTATATCATTATGTATAGGTTGTAGTGAGGTACATATTAGATTTTATATATATATATCGGCACTCTTCTTGTATCCTCCCCCCCCCCCCCTCCCCTTTACCAATTGACCAACGTTTTCCACCAAGATTTCAATATCAGTGTGCATATCGAACAGAAGAGTAAACAGTTAGTGCTACAAAACAAATATAGCTGAATATTCAGTATTGTAGCCCCAGCCTAACCCTGAAATCAGTGTACCAATCACATCTTCGCGCATATCGCGCCGTCGCGTGCGCTGGAAACTCAATGTCTGTCACCATTATTATATTCACGACCACTTCACGATTCCGGCGTTCGTGAATTCGTGAGCAGAGCCTGCCATCCTTCGTGACGCTTCTAGTCGTCGCTTGCTCGCCAGATCCCGCACCCAAACCGCAATTATTCGCAGCAATGTCCATCCGACACCCTCCCCACCCCACCAACCAATCTCCCGAAACTCGTGCGACTCGGACTGCAAAACTTAGGAAATCAATCTCCAGACAGGCAAGTCATAGACCCGCAACTCACGGTGCCATCCCTTGACGCAGAGCAAGTGAAATCTATAAGTGACATATCAATGTCACTCGAATCATCATCAATTTCGAACACCTTTACCCACTCATTTTCTAAGCAGCGTAATAGCACCAGTAACAGTTTCAGCTTCGTCGATACACACAGATAATACGAGAATGACTCCCTTCGGCCACACACCCACTAAGGCCACTTTCCTCGTCGTGATCATCGCCTCTGCGGTGCTCTTCCCTGCCCCTGCCCGCGTCTCTGCCGCCGGGAGTCCCGTCAACGCGACTGCGCGTGCTAACGCGACTGCTTATACTAAGGGCGTTGCTGCTGGCGCGATTTGGTCTGCAAACGCAACCACACCTGGAGATGCTAACAACAAGCCCGTGGCGGCGACGGCGAGGCAGAGCAAGAGCTCGGGGCTAGGAAAGAACTCCACATGCGCTTATCACGGGAACTACACCGCCAATCCCTACTTCGGCAAGGGACTCACCGTGAAGCTTCCTCCCGCCATTTTCGGCAAGCGCTGCGGTGCGTGCTACAAGGTGATTTGCGCCAACGACACCAAGCACTGCTGCAGTGGCAAGGCGACCGTGACGGTCCGCGTCATTGGCACGACGACCACGGAGAAGGAGATTTCGCTCTCTCCTGTCTCGTGGTCCAAGATCGTGCAGGGATCCGACGCCACCCCGGTCAGCATCACGTACAAGCGCACCAACTGCCATTCCACCGCTGGATCGGCAGTGCGCGTGCGCAGCAACTCGACGGCGGAGAATTTCAACATTCAGATGGTGGGTCTCGCCGGCCCCGGTACGCTCAAGGAGGTCGAGATTAGCGCGGACGACAAGAAGTGGGAGAAGCTGACGCGCGACGGCAGCAAGGCGATCTGGGGGATCAAGGGGAAGGAGGCGAAGGAGGTTGTGGGCGCGAAGAAGGCGGTGAGCGTTCGCCTGACTGCGGGACACACCCTCGAGAAGATCACTCTCGAGAAGGACCTTCCCGCCGACTGGAAGCCCCAGACGCTATACTCGTCCAAGACCAACTTCAAGAAGCTCATGGTCGAGGCCAAGTAAGCCCCACAGGCAAGTACGCCTCCGCGTGAAGAATATTCGAGGCAAAGCCCCATGCCGCTTCAATGGTGCTTCTGGAAGACGGAATCATGAAGTGGTTGTTTGAAGGCGTGTCGTGATTCTTGGCGGGTAGGTGCTTTTGAACGTTAGGTGGTACTAGCGGGTGGGAGGGGAGTGGATTGGGAGCAGGGTGGGTTAGTGGAAAGGGAATGGGTTACTATGGACTGGGTTTGTGAGAATGATGGTGCCCCTATATATTATGGGTTACCGTAGTATGGAATGGGTTTGTGGGTTATATTTGTGCCCCTAATTGCATGATTTTTTTTTGTCTCACTACGTACGGGTACCGTAGGTACCCTAGTTGGGATGGTTCCAACCATCGTCCACTTACGGTAAGTTACATCACCATTGTGTGCAAAGAGGTTAGAGCTCTGGTAGTCACTCTACCGGTAATTCACTGTGTAAAAGAATCTCCAGCACTCAGCATGTTGGGTTGAGTTTGTTGTGCCTAAACAACCATACAGTACATGACATCTTACCGTATGCTGACTTCTTCTGAGGGATCAAGCCAACATGATACCCAGTGCATCACATTACGGTGCCCAACAAAGGGATACATTCATGCAACAGAATTCTCTAGCTGTAGTCATCATACCAGTAGAGGAAGCCCTTCACTCCCATCTTAACCACCACCTTGCCTGTCACATGCCCTCCCATGCTCCTCCACGCCTCCCTCGCCTCTTCAAACGCCACACTACTCTCCACCACCACCTTCACCTTCCCCTCCTCCGCCATCCTCCCCACCACCTCCAGATCACCCTCCCCGTTCACCATCAAAACAGGATACAGTTTCTTCGGGCGAAGAGCCAAGCGGCGCCAGAGTCCCAGAGCGAGCAGAGAGAGCGGAAGCTCCACATGCACCCACCTCCCTTGGGGACGTAGAACCCTGTCCACAGCGGAAACTGCCAGGCTGTTGGGGGAGCAATCGATCACCGCATCATAGAGCCCAGCGATAGGCGGATCAGCAGATGAAGCAACCTGTGCAGCAGCAGGAGCAGAAAGGCTGATGACAGGCGAAGGGGATGTGGTTGATGAAGCAAAGAGCTGCTTTCCTGCAACGGAGTTGTAGGCCAAAACCTCGTTTGCTCCAAGCACGTTTCGTGCGAAAGCGAGGTTGCGAGCACCGACAGTGGCAGTCACGTTTGCCCCTGCTGCCTTCGCCAGCATGCCCCACTCCCCCCGACGCATTCGCCACCAGCACCCGCGCCCTCTTCCCGCTACCGTCGCTCCTGCTTAAGCTGGCACCGGAAACAGTGCCGTTGCTGCTGTTCTGGCCCTTATCACTGGTATCAGGGCTGCGCTCCGCACTCGGTTTTTGAGGCGACTCACAACCCGGTTTGGGTTCCTCAGGGCTTGCAGGAAGGAGCAGGCCGGCGCCGTCCCTCACGGCTTCCAGGGCAGTGAGACCGACGGGGAGAGCAGCGGCAGACTCAAAGGTGAGGGAGTAGGGCTTGTGTGCACTGCCGGCAGTTTCCAGTATGGCGTACTGCGCCAGGGCGCCCATTTTCTGAGAGAAGAGAAACGAGAATACGCGAGAGGTATGGGAAAGCAAATGAGAAGGAAAAGCAAGCAGGAGGTGTGCTGGTTGAGGTCTGCGCAGTGAACCCGAGTGGGGCCAGAGTGCAAGTGCGTCAGAGGGCCCATTTTCTGAGAGAGTGAACGAGAGTGGGGCCAGAGAGGATGGGTAACGCATGGAGGGCGTGCGAGAAGGCAGTGCAATGATAACCAGAGTTTGAACGAGAGGTTGGTTTGCTTGTGGGTCAGGCTTTGTCCGCGGTCGGAAGGCAAGTGGTCGCATGTCATAAGAGAGGGATGCGACGCAGAGCGGTGGTATAGGTGCAGTGCAGTGGATGAGATCGGAAGAACGAAGAACAAAGCAGAATATTGTGGTTATGGGACGTACGAAGAACGGCGCCCTTCCAAAAACGGCATCTCCCACAGAGTACTTGGTAACGCCAGGCCCCACTGCCACCACGTTGCCTGCCAGATCGTACCCTGCATGAACACAGGTGATTTAGAAAAATCAAAAAATGATTCCGGATTCGAGTGTGCGGTGAATGACAAGGCGGTTGGAAAAAAAAAAAAAAAATGCCGGTCGTCACCAGCAGAGGGGGAACCGCAGAGCCAGGTAAGGGGACACAAGGCAGTGCGGACAAAAGTCAGTACATGCACAGCTCTCACCACCAATGACTTTTAAGGCGCCCCAAAACCCGTTCTGCGCAAGTCAGGGCATGCACAGCTCTCACCAACAGTGGCGGGGAGTCGCAGCGGCAGGAAGGGCATGAGACTAGATTGCACGTTTGAAAGTCGGCGCTTTTGAATATCATTCTTGATTACTTTCACGCTTTTCTCACCAGCGATGGCTGGGAAGCACGCGGCAGGAGGGGACGAGTCCCGACTGCACCGTCCAGTCGCCCAAGTTGCCCCAAACATGCTGCCTTTCATTTCTGCACCGTGCAGCTGCATGCGTGCTCTCCACTCACCAGCGGTGGCGGGGAAGCGGCGTGGCAGGAAGGGGATGAGTCCCGATTGCACCTTCCAGTCGCCCGGGTTGATGCTCGCCGCACGCACTCGAACCAGCACCTCGCCCTTGCACGGCACGGGCACGGGGACCTTGTTATTTAACTGGTGAAGTGAAGGGGGTGAGGGATGGGGGAAATGCAACAGCAAGCAGATGATAGACAGCTTTGCATTAAGCTTATCACCCGCTCTCCCACCAGCACCTCGGCCTTGCTCGGCTAGGGCACGGGGATGCTGTCATTTAACTGGTGAAGCGAGGGAGATGGGGATGGAAGAAGCCATTTAAATCTTGAAGTCTGGCTCGCAATTGCCCATGCGAACCAGCACCTTGCCCTTACACGGCACGGGCACGTGGATGTTCATGTCACTCAACTGGTGCAATGTGGGGCATGCGGGATCATGGAAGACACGCAACAGCAAGCAGATGCTGATATAGCTGGAAGCCTAACGTAAGTCATTCAAGTGAAGGAGCGCCTCACTCCAGATCGCGATGCGGTTACACGACGACCGCGCAATTCCCTCCCGGTGCGACGATGCCAGCGGAATGGAATGCCCGTGAGCTTACGAAGGATGTCTGGCGCAAGCTAGGAGCGTCGGAGGCTCACGGCTCCGATTCGGTGCAGAAAAGCAAGCAACTGCTGCTAGAAACGAAAGAGTCAATCATCCGGGAAAGAAACGCATCGAGAGAGCATCAGCCCCGCCGCCGTGCTTCAAGTATTGCCACGCCGACATGGACTCCGGTACGGGCGGCATCATTTGAGAGTCGCCGACTCGAACCGAGCTCTTTCCAGCAGTCGTCATTGCGAGTCCCATAGCGGCGAGCGCTCACCGAAAGGGATCACATCGCAGCGGCAAATTGTCGTTGAAACAGCTGCGTCGCAGGCAGTCGCACGTAGATGTTGGCAGCACAGTGGTCGACTGGCAACGAATCGAACTAGATTAGGGTAGCGTGAGAATGCGTTCGCGAAATGTACTGTCGAGTGAAAAAAAGTAGATTTGAAAAAATGGGTATGCAGAGAGCAGATGATGGAACTGTTGCGGATGGTCTGCCTATTTGAACTATTCGAAATGCGAGGCAGCATTTCGCAAAAGCGCGCTGCGTCGCGTTGGTTTCCTTGGCTAATCTCACGATACTAGCCGAAGCAGATAACGGAACGGAGCCCTTCCACGCAGCACAGAAGGAACTCCGAGTCTAGGCCAACGTATACACGCAACTAGAGTAGCTAGACTGGCCCTCGCCCTGCTTGTCAACAATCAGATGCGACCTGGTCGACGTCAGCAGTGCGCAATTCGTCACACAGGTCGAACTACAGTGTAAGGAATTTTCTCGACATTCCTTAGCGCAGCCCGCAACATCGCGTACAGCAACAGCCATTGTTCGCCCACAGGGCCTCAGATATCAGGAAAAAAACCCTGAAATTCCTGATTTTGGCAGTCCTTTTTTTACCTACCCTGAAAAGTCAGTGTTGAGATTTTTGAGGGACTGAAATTTCAGACTTTTTTTGTTAGGCCACACTGAAATTTCAGACTTTTTTCCCCTAGGACACTGATGCCACAAAGCTGTAACGAAACCAACACTGAAGCGATTCTTACCTGTGCCATGTGGATTTGACTGCAATTACAGGGAATCTCAGATTCCCGAGGTGTAAGCACCCCGTGGCGAGGCCAACCTGTGAAATTCTGCCTCTGGTTCACGTTCAGAGGTATTTTGTTGGCGCGGCGCCTCACACCATTGGGCCGTTTCGCTGCAGCAGTCAGTCTTGGCCAATCCGAACGTGGCCACCATGTGGTGTTGGAGGGCTGCCAAGGGTCCTGCCCCGTTGCCATCACATGCGACGCGTTAGTGACAGCCTTTTTACTAGTGCTACACTGATGCATCAGGCTTTTTACAGACGCAACACTGACATTTCAGGCTTTTTTTTTTGGAACACTGTCAATCAGAGTTTACACACAGGGGGACCCTGATGGGTTGACGACCCTAAAAGTGAATCTGAGGGCCTGTTCGCCCATTACTACTAACGGGGCTTCGCCAACTTCGCGCGCACTGTTTCACCAAACCTCGCACTGCTGGAGCAGCGGAGTCGGCCTACGATTTGGGACTAGCCCGAACCTCGCGCCAGCGTAGCACTAGCTAGCTCGCACGCGCCACGTTACCGTTTGCATGTTTCGCGTATAAATGTTCGCTCATGCCTTCGCTCACATTTTGTACTCGTTTGACAACTTAGGGCAATCCTCGCTACCTCGATTCATTGCACTCGTAACACTTGGTATCAGAGCCTCTTTCTTTTCGGACCGCGCATCTCCGCACATCTCCGCAACCCCAGGAAATCAACTTTTGATTTTTCACTCGAAGGGAATCACGCACCTTAGTCCCTAGGAGCCGCTGTCCTCGCGTTCTCTCGTAAACGCGTGCAGCCACAACTGCGCATAGACTAAGCCGAGCCGACGCCCTTCGTAATGGCCGAACATCTCGACGTCACGACACTCACGCAGGACCGCCTGAATGAAATGCTGCGCCAGCTGCACGAAAACTCCGAAGAAATCGCGGCACTGACGGCGGAACGCACTTCCCTGCAGAATGACGTCGCACGAGCACAATCACAAGCACCTGGCACTCCAGTACAGCCCGCACCACAGGCATCGCAACACGGAAGTGTAGGGCAACCCGCGAGCGCGGCCAGTGATGGCGTCGTCCGCCACGACGGAGACGACGACCACGGCACGACACACCCCGAAGCGACGAATGCGGCCAGAAGTCAATTTCGCGTCACGATTTCTGTACCGGCCGGCGAATCAGCACTGCCGTCGCCGATGGCGCTGAAGCCGCAGTGTCCGCCATGCTTTGACCCGAGTCAACGGGGTGGTCCTACCGTTCAGGCGTGGTTGTTCTCGTTGAACGTCTTCTTCGACGCCAACTACGTCTCCGAGGATACGGCGAAGATTCGCTACGTCGTGTCGTTGCTGTGAGGACCCGCCATGGACTGGTGGCGCGTCATCGTCACGAAGCCGATGGACTACGCGACTCTACTGACACGGGAAGGACAAACCGGACCCTGGGCGCCGTCGTATTTCATGGAGGTGCCCAAATATCGCACGTGGGACGCGTGGTGCGCAGGTCTACGCGCTCGGTTTGAGCCAATTGCGGCTTCGATCGCGGCGCGACAGGAGCTCCGCACTTGGCGCCAACTCGGTTCCGTCCAGGATTACACCAGCGGGTTTCTGGCGCTATGCGAGCAAGTGGGTTATATGCACGAGAGCGAACGCATCGACCGCTACATCGGCGGCACGAAGCACGACACCGCTAAGGAAATCCAGCTTCGCGGCGTCACCGACTTTCAAGAGATTCTCGCTATGGCGGAGAAACTTGATTTCTTCCGCCGACCGAGACCGGGGTCCTACGGAAGTAGCAGTAACTGGGGACATCGATCTCGTGGGACGAACAAGGGCGCTACGATACGTGCCGTCGCCGCGAATGCCGCTGCCGCACCGATCAAAGGGCACTGCTTCGCGTGCAATCGGCCGGGACACCGCAAGAGCGAATGCCCGGAAAACGCTAAGGGAAAGGGGGAAGCTGAGCAGCAGGAACAGACCAAGCAGCAGGGAAACGCTGGGAGTCAGTAGCAGACGGGACCTCTACTGACAAGTCACGTCGCTCGCCCGACCCAACCGACCCTCACCGAGTGATTGTGCCGGTTCACGCAATCGACCACACCTGGCTGAATAAGGAGGGTACTACGGTAGACAGCCCCATACTGCTTAGTGGGAAAATCGGGACGGACTTAGTTAAAATCTTCGTAGACGGGGGAGCCAGCCAAGCCTCATCAACACTGCCATAGCACGGAAACTGAAACTGCCACTGGACAGATGCTTACCTGAGATCGATGCAAGACTGGTTGACGGCACGCCACTGGCGATACGGGAACGTGTGGACCGGGTTCGGATTCGATGCGGGGGTAACTTCACGTTTAGCCAGGAAATGCTCGCGACAACCCTCGACGGAACCGACATTTTACTCGGCCGTGATTGGCTGCGATGACACAATCCGCGAATCGACTGGACGACGGGTGACTGCACCGTGCGAGTGAACGGTAACAACATCGCCTTACCTCGCTGGAGTCGCTTGAGTCTTCGTCGGTGCGTGTCAACGCGATCACGATGAAACGCGCCATAGCGGTAGGAGCTGACGTGTATGCGGTTGACATTCGGGAAGCCGAGGCAGCAGACAAAGGGGGGGGGTTACAGAAACTGCTAGCCGACGTACCGGATGACCTGGCAGCACTGTTGAAGCAGTACAGTGACATATTTCCAGATGACCTGCCGACGGGACTGCCACCTCAGTGACCGCACGACCACAGGATAGAATTAGAACCGGGGGCACAGCCGACTGTACAGCGACAATTCCGACTGACCCAACCCGAACTGGACGAACTGAGGAAGCAACTGGATTATCTGCTCGAAAAGGAGTTCATTCGCCCGAGTTCGTCACCCTTCGCAGCACCGATACTGTTCACACCGAAGAAGGACGGGCGTTTTCCCATGTGCATAGACTACAGAGCACTGAACAGGGTTACCATTAAATCCCGTTATCCCATCCCACGAGCCGACGAACTGATCGACCAACTGCGCACAGCCCGGGTTTTCTCGAAAAAAGACCTTAGGGGAGGTTACCTCCAGATTCGCGTCAACCCACCCGACTGCCCCAAGACAGCCTTCCGAACACGCTACGGATCCTTCGAATACACAGTCATGCCCTTCGGACTGACCAACGCCCCCGCCACTTTTCAAATGACCATGAACGATGCCTTCCGCCCGCTTTTAGATAAGTGCGTCATCGTGTACCTCGACGACATCCTGATTTACAGCCCAGACAGAACATAGCACCTACAGGACATCGAAGCAGTTTTTGAAATAATGAGTGAGAACCGCCTACTGACAAAAGCCTCTAAGTGTGAGTTCTCACAGGACAGACTGAAGTTTTTGGGACACACCATTTCCGCTGAAGGAGTGAAAATAGACCCGAAAAAGATCGCGACGATTCAAGCGTGGCACGCGCCGACAAACTTGACCGAGTTGCAGAGTTTTTTGGGGTTCGTCAACTACGTGCGCCGGTTCGTCCCCGACATGGCGAAGTTGACTGCTCCGTTGACCGACCTGCTGAGGAAGGGGGTTGAGTACACGTGGGGGGAGAAAGAGCAAGCTGCCTTCTCGGCCCTCAAACAGATTTTGTGCTCGTCGCCCGTGCTTCACATCGCAGATCCGCACCGTCCGTTCGAGCTCGTCACCGACGCTAGCGACATCGCTGTGGGAGCAGTACTGTTGCAGGACTTCGGGAACGGCCTCCAGCCAATCGCGTACGAGTCCCG